TTCTAATAGTGAAAGTAATGCCTGCTAGGTGAATTTTTTTAATCAGATAATAAATAAAATATATACACCACAGAGCTATAGTAACTGGAAAGCAAAACACATAATTATTTATTGTCAAACAAGATTGGGTTCCAAATTCTAATGCTAAGAATGCTGGGGAGCTGGGGTTGACCACAGGGCTGACATTGAGCCCGCAAGGCCCAAACTCAGATGTCAGTGCTTACCACCCAGCTGCAGGGAAGAGACAGAAGGGAAGGTGCCAGAAACAAACAAGCAAACTCCCAAAGTGTAAGAATATCACCCATAATTCTATAACCCATGGAGAATTAAATAACCTACTTAAGCAGATATTAATATACATTAGCTCCTATTTCAGAAATGGAACCACACTGTATATCACAGTTTTTTTTCTTTTAGTTCAAAATTTTGAAGAGTACCTCAAGAGTTTCACTGAGGTACAATATGTCAACTATAAAATTCTGTTTTAATCATACATATAATTTTAGTAAATTTATGGAGTTTTTCAACCATTATCATGATCCAATTTTAGACCACTGTATCACCCCCAAAAGATCCCTTATACCAAGTTGTACTTACTCTCCATTTGAAAACCCAGCCCCAGCAGCTACTGATCTGTTTTCTCTTTATATTGATTTGCCTATTCTGAATATTTCATATAAATGGGAACATATAATACGTGGTATTTTGAATCTGGCTTCTTTTACTTAGCATACTGTTTTCAAGGTTCATTCTTGCTGTAGTATGTGTCAGGATTTCATACTTTTGATGGCTGGATAATATTCCATTGTATGGATATACCACATTTGTTTATTCATCCAGCCATTAGGGGACATTTGGATTGTTTCAAATGAATAATGCTGCTGTGATACTCATGTAAAATCTTTGTGTGGACATAATATTTTCATTTCTCTGTAGTAGACATCTAGGAATGAAATTGCTGGGTCATATGGTAAAGGTTTCCAAAATGGCTGTGCCAGTTTACATTCCTACCAGCATTATGAGTTTCTCCACATCCTAGCCAATACTTGCTACCGTCTGTGTTTTTGAGAATAGCCATCCTAGTGGGTATGAAGTGGTATCTCATTGTAGTTTTGATTTGCACTTCCCTAGTGACTAGTGATATCAAGCTTCTTTCCATGTCCTTATTGGCCATTTGAGTATTTTCTTTGGTGAAATGTCCACTCAGAATATTGCCCATTTTTCAACTGAGCTATATATGTCTTTTCATTATAGCATCACAAGGCTTCTTTATGTATTCTAGATCCAAGTCCTTTATCCAATATATATATTGTATTTTCACTTTCTTGATGGTGTCTTTAGAAACACAAAGGTTTTGAATTTTGATGAAGTCAATTTTTTTTCATTCATCACTTGTGCTTTTGATGTCATATTTAAGAAGTCTTTGCCTAACCCTGCCAAGTTCCCTTTTTCTCCCTCACTTATCTCTATGCCCTGGACATCTTTCTACCTCAGTACATATAGATCTGCATCATCATCCTTCATAGTTTTGGTTTCTAGAAAGAAGGAAGTGAAAACAAGGCCAAACTTCTCAAAATATCCAGGGCCACTCTGTTCATCTTTGAGGTCTTCCCACTTCCCTTTTATATTGTCTTGTGTCTGGTACCTCCTCTGTGGTTTGTGAAGGAAAACTTTATTAGGCTATTAACTTCATCACAACATTGTATGTTTTAATACCTTGGCCACACAGATTCCCAGCCCCAAATTTTCCATAGGCTTAAATCCCTCCCTCACAGATTCTAGTGAGGGGATGCTCATAAGAAACATGTGTGCCCTGTAATTTGGGATTTGACAGCCACTGCTTCTGGCATTCGACTTCGTTCTTTGAAACTGGCCTTGGGAATGATGCAGCTCTAGTTAATGTATTAAAACATAAATATGGAAAAAGAAAGAAAAGTAGTGGATAACAGCAATTAGTATGTGTGTTTTAATGAAAGTCTTAATGGCTATTCCTGAACAAAATAGTGGTTATCATTTACCAGGTTCCAGAATGAGATGAATGGTTGCTTCCTGGCCTCTGTCATAAGTAAAGCTTCCCTGGCTTAATGGATAGGATATGAGGTAGTGTGTAAAGCTAGAAGCTTCTTTAGGAAATACTTTTCAGATAAAGAACACTAATGGAGAAAATCCAGGTTGAGGAAAAGAGCCTGTGACAGGGGCCTCAGAATAAGAGTGGGAAAGGCAGGTTAGCAGATTTCAGAGCTCAGGGCTGAAAATGCTAATCTGCTGAAAGAGAGGGTCGATGGACAACCATTCTGATGAGAAGTCAATGGTGTGGCTACCATCCTTTGGAGACCTAACCCTCAAGAGCTGAGACCAAGAATTTGGAACCTGAGTACTAACACTGGGAAAAGGAGAACTGTTAAGGGCAGCCTCCTGGCTGGACAACGGCCACTGCAAGGTTAGGGATCTGGTACTGATCAAAGAGGTAGGAAAAGGGCCAACGAAGAGCTCCTCCAAGCTGATAGGTAACTATATGAGGCTGAGAAATGTATTTGAAGTCCTTAAAGATGCAGTCTTAGGTCTTTAACTTTTGTTTTTCACGAGGAAAGCAATACCAAGCTGCTGCAGAGGCCAGCTGCTGTGTGCCTGGAATATAGAATACACTGGAAGACTAAGACAGCGGAAAGCTACTGTGGAGATTCAGACAGGAGAAGGGCTGGCCTTGGAGGAACACTTGGGTATGTAGGAAGAAATGGGCAGCGGGCCATCAGGGTGGATATACTATGCAAGGGCAGAGAAAGAAGACAAACGTGTTTGGGGTAGGGGTGAGGGTATAAGCATCCCCTCACTAGAACTTATGATAGAGGGCTTTAAACCTACAGAAAATTTGGGACTGGAAATCTGTGTGGAAAAAGAAGGCTGTAAGAAGATTTGGGTTTTTTGGAGGTATAATTATGTACAGTAAAATGCACAAATCATATATGCGGAATGAATTTTGATAAATGTCTACAATGGTTTAACCACTCCCCTAATAGAGGTTTCTTTGGGAGGGGGAGGGGGAGATCATTAGGTTTATTTATATGTTTGTTTAATGGAGGTACTGGGGATTGAACCCAGGGCCTCCTGCATGCTAAGCCTGCACTCTACCACTGAGTTTTACCCTCCCACCCCCAACAGTAGAGCTTTTTGAAGAATATATTTCCAGTGCCTGCAGATTTTAAGTGAAGTTGCCTCAAAGGCAAGAAGCTATATGCCCCTGAAATGAGAAGCAACAAGGACTGAACTCCAGCCTGGAAAGTTATCTGGAGCCAGCAGGTAGAGATCTTGTGCGCAAAGGAACACAGGTGCAGGAAGGGGTGACCAGAGAACAGAAAGGCCCAACTTGGGGTGCGCTTGAGCCCAACACTAGGGTCTTATTTGCTGATATAAGCGTAGAGACTTCTCTTTTTTCAGGCCTTCAATCTCATACTTAACTCTCTTAAATGAGAAAGAAACCACTTTCTGTGTTGGCTTCTGCCGAATTTGGAGAATAGCGTCAGGTGGGGGAAGGGAGCTGGAGGATCCCACAGGGTGGTCTGCACCTCCTCCAAGCACCCTGCAAGATGATGCACAGCTTTGTTCTCGACCTGCGGAGCCCAGCTCCCTCTGTGCAGCTTGCTCGAGCTGCCCAGCCTTGGCACCTCGAAGAGTACAAGGACCACACTATTCTCGAGCTCCTCTGCTCTGCTCAGGTGCGTGAGCTTGCACCTGCCCTGCAGCAACTCCCTGGGTGTTTGCAGCTGGTGCAAGCTTGCACGAGGCGGGAGCAGTATGGCTAGATTTGGGGGGCGTGGGGGCGTGGCCGCGCTCTTTCGCGCCCTCTCCCGCCCAGGCAATCCCGGGAATGTTCTTAAAAGTATCCAAAAGTTCTAAGCAGTGCGCGCGCAGAAAGAAAAAAAAGGGCCCACCCCCCACCCCTCTGGGCGGTCCGAGTCCCGACCTCGCTACTCTGGCTGCACCTCCGGCTGGAAGGCACACGTTCCCTAAGCCTTCTCCTCCAGAGCGTCGCGGTCGGCTGGGTGCTCCCCTTGCAGCCACCGGAGAGTCCTTACGCTTCA